AAAAAGGAAATGTACTAAATCAATAATAATTAAAAAATTAATAATATAAATACAAAAAAAAACATAAAATAAACATAACACGAGACACCAGTACTTATACAAAGCTTTTATGTTTTATATTAATTTGACCGATTAGTTGTTAAGAGGGCTTCTATCAAAAATTAATTAAAACTGATTTTATGCACTTACAAAAAAAAAAAAAAAAGCACTTACACACATGTGTGGAAGACAACACTGACAAAGATGAAGAAGGAACGGGTAATAAAGACGTTTCGAAAGAAAAAAGCACTTCATCAAATAAAAAAGAAGCTGCTATAACAAATATTTAGAAAACTGAAGAACAACATGAAAAACACAGAGCCATATTAAAAACGCTAAAACAATCCTTAGACAATTAGCCGTGATTTCAGTAATTTGAAAAGGGGGGCAAATATTGGTCCTGTTCAAGTGTTTTCCAATATAGACAACCTCAGTCTTGATCCCGTTGATAAAAATGCAGTCACACATTCTCAGCTGTTGCAGTTTTACACATGGACCAACAAGATGCATGAGCTTGCACAGCAAGCAGTTACAATAATGGCGTACACAGTCTCCCAAATATACCGAAGCAAAAAAAAACATGCTTGCTGCGTGTCTTGCATCACCACAAACTGTAGAGCATCTTGTGATGGCATTAAATAAAAAATACCCAAACTCAAATTTTACTCTGACACGATCTCTTGGAAGCTGTGGTGTCAAGCAGATTGAATTGAGGCGAACACTAAGAGCAAATGTTGTATTGCGTGGTCTGACAATTGAATGGGTTAAAGTGAAAGGGTTTGACGAAACCTTTCAAACTGAAGATGGCCAGTTTGATATTTGGTCCAATTCTCGTTATCAAGTTTTCCAAAAGATTACACATCATGCAGTTGCTGCATCTTTGCATTACTATGCACCAGCCATACCAGAAATAGCTGTAAAATCATTTGTGCTGTTGCTGGAAGGGTTTGGCAATTTGTTTTCAGCTCCAAGTGTGAAGTGTGGCAAATATTTACAGAACAATATGCTACCAACATGGCGGGACTATCGCAGTAGAGAAGCATTTCATGATCTGTGCCGGATGTAAATAGTTCCAAGTTTCCAATATGGGTTGTATTACATACATAGTTCCACTGTAGAATGTATGTATGTACGTATGTTAACATTGGGATGTACATATTTTGTGAGAAAGGAATTAGTGAATAATTGTCCATTTTTATTATTGTCGTTATAAGCTATACATTGTACATAAATTTACTTTGAAAAAAAAAAAAGCACTTACACACATGACCTGATGTTGAAATTATTTTAAATTTATGTGTTTCAAATCCCGAACAGGCCAGCAATGAGTATCCTAATTTTTGTATTTTGTGATTGTATATATATATATATATATATATATATATATATATATATATATATATATATATATCATATCATATATAGGCCTATATTATATATATGGGGGGGGGGGGGCTAACAGTTTTTGCGGGGTGGCCCTTTTTTTCTAGTTCCGCCACTTTATATAATCTTTGTATTTTATGGGAAAAACAGAGGGTAATTTAAAAAGGGATTTTAGGGCACTTACCCTCTTTACATCTGGCTAATGTTTGGCATGCTTATAGGTAAATGGCTTGGCCGTATGGCAGACCTGTCGGTTTCACTCGACGAGGGCTAAAACATGACCGCGAGTGAAATTCTCTTTATATGAGCTCTATTACGAAAATAAATTTCCTCCGACAACCCCCCTTGAAATTTTGTGAGGTGGTAGGAGAACGCCTTGGGATGTCACAAAAAACTGGGAAAAATCGGGAAATGGGTAAAAACTGACCAGTCGTATTTCCCTATATAATCTTTGTATTTTATGGGAAAAACAGGGACATTTCAACACAATACTAAACATAATCCTAAACTACTATTTGTATTCTTATTGCGCATTACACAAATATTCTAGACAATACTGCCACTCATGTTAACCTACAGTCTGGCTAAAAATAAACACTTATTTTTTTAAAAATTCTTTGTGTCATGACGTTTTACCGGCTGACACTTTAGGGTAGTGTGATTAAGGTGCGTTCATTGATTGGGTTCGATCTTCGAAAATCAGTGACTTAGTCAGCGGTCGTTGCGAATACGGAGCTAATCTTGTGACTTGAAATCAAAATATTGAAGCTTGATTCCTACGGGTGTATCTATATATATGTGACTCTGTATGTATGTATGTGATAGGGGACACAGACCAGACCCATGGTTAAGGGCAGGTTAAACCCCCAAATTGAAATTTAGGTGTAAGGCCTTTTTTGAGTGATAAGGACGGTGTAACTAGCATAGTATATGAAAAAAATGCAAAAAAATCACTAAAAAGTTATGGTTTTGTGAAAATATTTTCTAAAAAGTGTCACTTTTAGGGTAAAATAGCTCAAAATTAGCTCTCATTGAAATCAAAATAACACAGCTTCTGTTTGTCAGAATAACAAAAATCTTTAATATAGTGTAATATACGCAATTACAAAAAAGATGAACTAAAACAATTAGAAAATAATAAAAAATGGATTTTAGCCAAATTTTTTAAATGTGAGACCTAAAATTTTTCCAAAAAGTAGGGAGTAGACTTAGCTTTTTTTTTATAAAATGAGAAGTTTCAAAGATATAGAAATTCTTTTAGTTCAACTTTACAAGCTAAATATCTCAAGTAGTTTTTGAGTTATAGTGATTTAACTGGTACAATTTTGTTGAAAAGTAACATTTTGAGAAAAACGCTAAATAGTGAAAAATATACTAAATTTGAAAAAAAAAACGAGAAAAAGCGAAAACTATACCTAATAAGTCATTTTTAAAACCTCCCAGTTACATAAATTGCATGTGGAGCCTCTTACTCAGCAATAAGAACATCTATTTTAGTTAGTTTTTAATTTTTATGTTGCTAAATGTTGCTTAATATAGGTGAATTACGTCATTAGTCTCATTGATTAAAAAATTATAAAAAATACTAGCAATACGAAATTTTGCAAAATGATTATACAAAAATGTTCAGAATTGAATGTAGTTTCAGAAACAATAGATGTTCAAAAATCAACATTTCTGACTTAAATATGTATTTTGGGGGGGGGGGGGGGGGTTTAACCTGCCCTTAAAGATGAATACAGTAAAAAACTCGACTTGAACGCCACACTGAAATACATCTAAAGTGTTTATTATCTAAATTAATAATTTAAAAAATTATGATATTAGGTTTTGTAAAACAAATACCATTTCCGAAAAGTATAAGTTTAATTAACATCATGTGAAGTAAAAAAAAAGTCAAAGAAAATGTTATCTCCCTTTAGAAAAATTTAAAAAGTGTAAAAATTACTTCACTTTGTTCCTTTATTACCAATTACTTCTCTTGATAGATCACAACAAATGCTTTTACTTCCTTTTAAGAAAAAAAAGCATTACATCAGGGGGGAGGAGGGGATACCTTTCATTAGTTTGTTTTGGTGTTGGAAAAAAATATTATATAATTAGCTTGGATTAATAAAGTGCTATGTGGTAGGTAAAACACCACGGCTATTTTAAATAATGCCTTTTATTTATTTTATACACTGAACGTACCGTTTACTAATTATTATTTTTAATCAATAACACTTTAGAAGCCGCTCCTAAATGTCGTCTGTGTTTGCTTCTATTTGTCGGTTTGCGGACAAGCTGGGGTTTTATAGTTGTTCACTAAATTGAATCAGGCATGTTTGTCCGCGGCAGGGTTCGCTCTGGCGTCCTGGGCTATTCTTGGGCGTTATGGTAAACGTTAGTTTTAAACAGTGCGAAAGACTATTGATAGAAAGATAATCATAGTCCTTACCTAAATGGAATAAGTGCGTCCTTCGGCGCCCTAACAGGGTGCTGCTATTTTGCGCCCCGGACCCTCCCATGTGTGTTATGGCGCCTACGTTAGGTTTAGTGAGTTCCATAGACTATGGATAAGAAGGGTTAATATAGTCCTTAACTAAATCGAATCCGAGCATCTTCCGGCGCCCCGACAGGTTGCTATTTGGCGCCCAGGGTCTTCCTGTGTGCGCTATAGCGCCTACGTTCGGTTTAGTGAGTTGAATAGACTATGGGTAAGATTTAGTATTATAGTCGTTTACTAAGAAGTATCAGGCGATTTGGCGCCAATGGCTATACTGTTAGCAGTATGCGTTTATGTTTGCATTTTAATTCATGTTTATGTTCCGCGTAATTGTTTGCGTTTAGGTTTGCGTTTGCGTTTGTATTTGTGTTTGTGTTTGCATTTGTGTTTGGGTTGTGTTTCTGTTTATGTTCGAGATTGTGTTTGCATTTTTGTTTGTGTTTGCTTTTTTAAATGCGTTACTGTTTGCGCTTTTGTTTATGTTTACATTTGTGTTTGCCTTTGTTTTTGTGCTTTCGTTGTGTTTAGGTTTCTGTCTGCGTTTGGGCTTGTGTTTTAGTTAGCGTTTGTGTTTGTGTTATGTTTGCGTTTGGTTTTGTGTTTGTGGTTAGGTTTTGGTTGGTTGTGGTTAATGTTAAGTTTAAAGTTAGTGTTGGGTTTAAGGTCATGTGTTCTTTTGTCTAACGTCCATGCCGGGTACATGTTGCTGAATAAACACACAAGTAATGGTCCTTTACAGGTAGCTTTTTCTCAGAGGCCAGTGCAGAACCTGGCCGGGACGGCTGATATATCGATTGAACCCAAGTGGTTTGGTGAGTTAGACTCAGGGGTTCGCGGAGATAAGACACACCCCAGACTCATAAGATTCACGATCGGATTTTATCAGCGTGGATGATCAGAACCATTAAGAAGGGTTCGGTGAATACGCATATGTATATACAATTTATATACGTCCATATGAGTGAACTAGTACCGAATACAAAAATTCAGTTCAACAGGATACATTAAAAAAAAACAAAAAAAAACACGTCTTTAAAAGATTGACGCAAGTGTCTAAGCGAGGGGGTAGGGGGAATATACTTGAGGCTATAAAATCGCCTGACGAAGGAAGGTAATCCAAACCTGACAATGTCTCTCGTTGGTTTAACAGCCCTGGTAAGTTGCGGCCCTTTAATAATTTACTGATGTGTAGTTACGTTTGAATTGTTAGAATTTCAGTTGAGTGTATATCTATGTCTTACGATGAAAAATGAAGCTAACTAATGAATTTACTAAGACAGCCATTCTGAAAATAGTTTTGTTGTATACACTTGTGAACCAACATGTATCTTTAACATTTGTTTTAGAGTTTATCGAAGCGTATTTTAAGCCCTGGCAAATTTTATGCCCTGGCAAACTTTTAGACCTGGCTTAATGGCTTTACACGGCCTAATTTTTGTGTGGCCTTGATTCAACTTGGCTTTTACCTATTGTGGCCTTGGCCTATCTTGGCCTTTACGTTGTGAGGCTTGATTTAATATGTCCTTAAGTTTGATCGGATTGGTATTAACCAAACAAAATTGCGTTAATTAATTACGTTTCAAAAATAAGTAGAAGCCAAATGTCTGAATAAGCATTGGGAGTTATTAAAAAAATGTTTTCGTTTCTACTTTACCTTTAAAAGCTGACATCATTTAAAAGCCTTGTAGTTTGTTCTTGGTTGGACAAAGGCTATGGAAGCGAAACCAAAAAGAAAAGCAGGCTGAAATCGGAGTTAGAGGCCTCAATGGCGTATAACCAGTTGACACGTATTCTTCCATCGCTAAAATTAAGAACGAAGAAGATCCAAAAGGAAAATTGTCGAAACACGAAACAAACCTTTGTTTTTACAAAGCACCTAAAACAACAGTTTGTTAACAAATCATGTTCAACTAGAAATTTAGAAAAAAAAAAAAAAACTGAGATGGATATGCCATTCGTTGAAGAAGTATCATCAAGTATTACCAAGACACTATTTACACTGAATCAGCATAATTAAGAAAAAAAGAGACCCAAATGTACATGACGTCGAGAAATTGAAAATGACATGAAACTTATGAAAACGAGATGAAAGACACGGGAAGTATATCAAAGAACGGAACAGCATAAATAGATGTAAATAGCCTACGCTTTATTTTCTATTTGAAAAACCGAAGAAAAATAAAGAAACCGGCGGTGAAGATTTATATTGCTGACAGTAATTGTTGTGTGATGAACAGTTAAAAGTACACCAGTGTTTATTTGTAGAAATTTGCAAGGAGTCCGCCACGTCCTTACCGCTTCTAAGGTAACGCGGTTTCAGGTAAATACATGATATGGTAATTGTTGTGTAAAGTCTGGAGAAATAAATTACACAGTGTCTTGATCAAAGTGGAACTTTTTTTTTTTAGATCGTGGTGACCTTCGCCTTTGGTCACGTGACCAGTCTAGAACAAACAACAATCGATCAGTTGAAAAATGTGGTAGCGGCACTATCCAGACAGGTGAGTCGATTTTAAACAGGTGGATCTATGTTAGACAGGCAGATCTATTTTAGACAGGTGGATCTGTTTTATACAGGTGGATCTATTTTAGACAGGTGGATCTGTTTTATACAGGTGGATGTATTTTAGACAGGTGGATCTGTTTTAGACAGGTGGATCTATTTTAGACAGGTGGATCTGTTTTATACAGGTGGATCTATTTTAGACAGGTGGATCTGTTTTAGACAGGTAGATCTATTTTAGACAGGTGGATCTGTTTTAGACAGGTAGATCTAATTTATACAGATGGGTCTATTTTAGACAGGTGGGTCTATTTTAGACAGATGGGTCTATTTTAAACAGGTATAATTTTTTTAGACAGGTATATCTATTTTAGACAGGTAGATTTATTTTAGACAGGTGGGTCTATGTAAACAGGCGGGTCAAATCTAGACAGGTTGGTATATATTAGACAGGTGGTCTATTTTAGACAAGTGAGTCTATTTTAGACAGGTAGTCTATTTTAGACAAGTGAATCTATTTTAGACAGGTAGTCTATTTTAGACAAGTGAGTCTATTTTAGACAAGTGAGTCTATTTTAAAGGGGTGGTTCTATGTAAACAGGTGGGTCAAATCTAGATAAGGTAGATCTACTTTAGACCGCTAGATCAGGTTTAAGACAGGTGGGTCTATTTGAGACAGTTGTGTATATTTACACAGGTGGGTCTGAGATAGTCCCAAAACTTCATCAGAATCCTTTTTTTCTACAGACGACTAAAATATATAATTTTAAAATGTTGTGTAATATTAATTGCACGCCAGGAAGTTAATTAGACTAATTAGCGAGGTGAGATTTAGCGGAGGTTCCTCACGACAGTCTATTTCCTTACCTGAGTGTTTCGACATTGATGGATGTTGGGTGACGTCATGACGCCCCAACGGTCAGTGGAGTCGTGTCAGTCATTTCTCACGCCTTGGGTTATTTTTGTTTGTGTTGGGGGAGGGGGGGGGGCAGGGGGGGTGTTACTTAACAAGAGATACACACAAGTAAACATCGTAATCAGACATACATCAGCTATACATCGTAATCAGACATACATCAACCATACATCGTAATCAGACATACATCAACCATACATCGTAATCAGACATACATCAGCTATACATCGTAATCAGACATACATCAGCTATACATCGTAATCAGACATACATCAGCCCTACATCGTAATCAGACATACATCAACCATACATCGTAATCAGACATACATCAACCCTACATCGTAATCAGACATACATCAGCTATAAATCGTAATCAGCTATACATCGTAATCAGCTATACATCGTAATCAGCTATACATCGTAATCAGCCAGACAATAACCATACAATAGCATGTTTTTTGCAGGTGATGTCTACTGTTGTATGTTCTTGCATGTGATGTTTTGTATTTTCTTGCATGTGATGTTTTGCAGGTGATGTCTACTGTTGTTTGTTCTTGTAAGTGATGTTTTGCATGTTCTTGCACGTGATGTCTACTGTTGTATGTTCTTGCATGTGACGTTTTGCATGTTCTTGCACGTGATGTCTACTGTTGTATGTTCTTGCACGTGATGTCTACTGTTGTATGTTCTTGCAGGTGATGTTTACTGTTGTATGTTCTTGCAGGTGATGTCTACTGTTGTATGTTCTTGCAGGTGATGTTGCAACAGTTTGCAGCAGAAGAAAAGATACGAGCAGACGGCGGCTCCGGCATCAAACAAATCAGAGTTGACGCGGACGGACCAGAGAACTTCTACGTCAACACCCACAGCGGGAGATCTATCAGCTCCATACACGACCACTCCAACACCATGCTCACAGTGGGTCAAGGTGAAGGACAGGTCAGTAGGCGTGATAATTGCGTCATCAGCAGCGACCCTCAGCCCGGGGCGATTCGCCTTCTACGTAGTACAATTGGATGATGGCTTGTCCAGTTAAGATCATTACGTAATTTAACAAAGAAAACTCCCAGAAGGCTTTAATCCTAAAAAGATATGATTTCAATCTCCGATTGTGTTATAAAAAAATCACTTAAGAAATCGTATAATATCTCTTATCATCAATGCGCAGTTTTAAAAAGATTTAAATTAATCGCTTAAAATCTTTGACTTCGTCATGAGTAGTATTTTTTATTAAAAAAAAAATTAATCATTGATCACCCCAGGCTATAGGAGAAGCTGGAAGATTGCTATCAATAGAATTATTTTCTTTGAAGCGTTAGTTGACTGACGATTTACTGACGTCAAGGTGAACGAGGGGGCCAGGTTTATACCTTATAGGTAGAGTATCATATCTTGACACATCCAAGTTAGATGAATTCTAAAATATGCAAATTGTCTGCAAAAACAGGGATTGTAGGTGTTTTGTTTCTAGGTGGGCCCATGGGATGGTGGGATTGTAGGTCAATGTACCCTGTATATGACATGTTAGGTCAGTCAATACAGTATATGACATGTTAGGTCATTCAACCCTGAACATGACATATTAGGTCAGTCAACCTGTAATGACATGTTAGGTCAGTCAACGAACAACACCCTAAATTTGGCTAACTACGTGACGCAGAGCGCGGTGACATAAATCACCGTAAACACTTTAAAAGTTGGCCAGGCACTTAAACCTTATGTTGTTTAATGTGACGTACATGAAGGGTTTTATTCTATTCTAAGAAAATATTTCTAGTTAGTCCCCTTTAATACATGAACCCATACACGTTTTTAAACTGACGGATGTTTTGTTTTGTAGTATGTGCTCAACGGTGTGGAGTTCCGTACCCGCCACAACGACTACCTCCTGCGCATGCCCAGCACGCAGACCGGAAACTACAATCAGATGACTGAGATTCCCTTCCCACCTGTTCCGCCCGAGGTCCTTGAAAAACCGACAGTCCAGGAGCAGGTATGTACACACCTGTGTGTAACTGCCAATGTCATCTGCATTAAAGATTTACTCGACAGAGTGGTTTCCCCTACATCTGCATTAAAGATAGATTTACTCGAGTGGTTTCCCCTACATGTACAACAAAGATAGATTTACTTGAAACAGTGGTTTCCCTACATCCAGAGTTTCTTCCAGGCATCTCTTCGAAAAAATTTTACCGCCCCCCCCCCCCCCCCCGAACGAAATGAAATTTATATAATCTATATAGAAAATATATACTTTTAACAGTATCCGCCCCCCCCCCCGAAGAAAGTCTACCGCCCCCCCCCCGAAAATTTCAAATCCCCCCCCCCCCCCCGGAGAAAAAAGTCTGGAAGAAACACTGCCTACATCTACATTAAAGATAGATTTACTCGAGTGGTTTCCCCTACATGTACAACAAAGATAGATTTGCTTGAAACAGTGGTTTCCCCTACTCGCACTTACTCTAGCACGAAGCCCTAAGATTGGTGATCACTCGATCTATTAAAACAACATTAGCTTAAGGCTTAAATGCTGTTACCCTGCCTTACGATCTAATACATGTAATAAAGTAAAGTAAAATTCCCCTCACGATCCTGTGGGCAGGCGAAGAATAGTTCAAATGTTTCTTGACCTCGACATTTGAAGCGATGATGCGGTCAGCACTATGCCCAGCCGCCTTTACTTTCCCCAACGTGAGTCAGGTACCCATCAAAGCTGAGTGGACTCAGGGACGTCTTGTAATTTCGAATCGGAACTCCGAACTCGAGACGTTGGGGCTAGCAGCCTAGCGCTATCATTCGACAACGCCGACCCTAATACAATTAATAGAGAACTAAAATATTTCAATCTTAACAAGGAACGAATACGGTCTAAAATGTTTTTCTTTCGATCATATTTAAAAATTGTACCCATATTTAAAGTAAAGTTCAACAATAGAGCCTTACATAATTTTCTTCAATAGATGCTATTGACGTATATTAGATACACATCTGAAGAACAGATCACAAATGTGCTTAGAATAATTGAAAGGTCATAAAAGAACCAGCCTTTGGCGCTGTAAAAACTTCCCTTCTGTAAGGGCTTGCCTCCTCCCCCCCTCACCTTACCAAGATGTATTTGTTCCCTAGACCTCTGCTTGGTATACTTACACAACAACCCTAGACAGGAGCTTGAGGGTTTCTTGATCCCGTCGTTACATTATTTCTTAAAATAGGTGGATATTTAGCATACTTTCATTCAAGCGGGGAACTTCTTTAAAAAATATAATCTGATTTCTATTGGAAAGAATCTCTTTTTTAATTTCAAGTGTTGATCTCATATTCCCATGACTTTGCTGAAAAGGATCTTCAACTCTAAAGCCTCTAGTACAAAAACTACGATTTTGATCTAAAAATTACTTGAGAGATTTGTAGCCCTCATGTCGTTTATTCAACAAACCCCACCTTCTCCAGATCGCGGAACTCCGCGAATGGTTCCAGGCATGGAAAGAACAAAACTACCAGACCAGGGACTACAGACCTTACTTCAAGCCTGTGCTCTGCTACATGGAAGGTTCGTGGACCACCAACACCAACAAAATAGAAGAACCGTTCTTCAGTGACCGGCACGCCATTGATGCCTCGTCTTGGTTTGACCTTCAGGTAAGTGAAAATATTTGATCTTCAGGTGAGTGAAAATATTTGATCTTCAGGTGAGTGAAAATATTTGACCTTCAGGTGAGTGAAAATATTTGATCTTCAGGTGAGTGAAAATATTTGATCTTCAGGTGAGTGAAAATATTTGATCTTCAGGTGAGTGAAAATATTTGATCTTCAGGTGAGTGAAAATATTTGATCTTCAGGTGAGTGAAAATATTTGACCTTCAGGTGAGTGAAAATATTTGATCTTCAGTTGAGTGAAAATATTTGACCTTCAGGTGAGTGAAAATATTTGATCTTCAGGTGAGTGAAAATATTTGACCTTCAGGTGAGTGAACATATTTGATCTTCAGGTGAGTGAAAATATTTGATCTTCAGGTGAGTGAAAATATTTGACCTTCAGGTGAGTGAAAATATTTGTCCTTCAGGTGAGTGAAAATATTTGATCTTCAGATGCCTAAACATGTCAGGAACATGAACAACACATGTACTCTACTTCAACTACTCAGGTCCGGTTCTATGCTCACAATCTTAAAATATGTCCTCTTTTGTTTCTTAGGAAAAGGTTCGCTTCTCCGCCTACACTGGTAAGAAGAGCATGAAAGAGAACTTCGCCTACCTCCCTACCACCATCATCAACATCACAGAGAACGGGGTACCTGTGTACGCTCAGTGGAACTACAGGATCGCCTGTCACCCTCTGTCTAAAGATCTGCCTACGTCATACCTGAATCTTGTAGACGACCTGAGTGTCAGGTTGCCAAATGGCTACACTCTAGAGGAGTATAAGGTAAGGTTAAAGGTCATACTGCCCAATGGCTACACTCTAGAGGAGTATAAGGTAAGGTTAACGGTTAGGCTACCCAATGGCTACACTCTAGAGCAGGGGTCTCCAAACTACGGCCCGCGGGCCAAATGCGGCCCGCGAGGTTCTCTCATCCGGCCCGCGGAGATCTTTTTGTCCACGGAAAAAACGTTTGTTGGTGATGGCTGAGGAACTTTGCGTAGAAAATCAAAGACATGCCTGGAAGAAACTGGCCCCCGAACTGAAATTTGATAGTTAATGCGGCCCTCGGACTGAAAAGTTTGGAGACCCCTGCTCTAGAGGAGTATAAGGTAAGAGTAAAATCTAGGAATACAAAGGAAATATATTGATTTGCACCAAACAGTGTTTACGGTGGTAAGGAAACTGTAGAATGTAAAAAAGTTAAAATTTTGAGTTCTAGGAGCCAAGAAATGTTCAGGATGATTGGGATAGAGCGATTGTTTTACAGTCATGTCCATTTGGCGACAATTTGGCGATCTTGTCCATTGGGCAACTGTTTGACGATCTTGTCCATTGGGCAACTGTTTGGCGATCTTGTCCATTGGGCAACTGTTTGGCGATCTTGTCCATTGGGCAACTGTTTGGCGATCTTGTCCATTGGGCAACTGTTTGGCGATCTTGTCCATTGGGCAACTGTTTGGCGATCTTGTCCATTGGGCAACTGTTTGGCGATCTTGTCCATTGGGCAACTGTTTGGCGATCTTGTCCATTGGGCAACTGTTTGGCGATCTTGTCCATTGGGCAACTGTTTGGCGATCTTGTCCATTGGGCTATGAAATGGTGAAGTTTGGGGTTGGAGCAGGTTCATAGGCGAGGGATTGCGGGTTGGAGGTTGAGCATCAGATTTTAAAGTTAAATTAGCAAAGGTATGGTCAACAATAATAGTTCTCTCTTGATTTAAAAAACCCACTAATTGTTAATTAACAACAAGCGTTAACTTTTTTAGTGTAAGAACTCCCTCTTTCCCCTGACTTTAATATCATTACATTATAGGCCAAATATCTAAACTAAGGCTCGAACGTTTGTCTCCTAGAACACCAGATCAGCAAGGTTCAACATCCTGGGACCGAGTGACAGAAGACTGACCTATTACAACTACCTGGACGAGCTCATGTCAGAGGTGCCAGGTAAAGACAACTACGGCGTCGTTCTACACGATACCAGTATGGCCGCCACCTACCTGCATCCCACAGGAACCAACGGCACACTGCTGAACGTCGGCTACTACCACCGTCGTTATAGAGTGGCAAAAGCTGATGCTATGGGCTTGTCGGGGGGCAGGAGGGGCTACAGCGATCCTAACGTCTTCATGGCTGAGACCACACAGGAAAGTATAGCACCGGTGTCGCTGGTAGAGTGTGTCAAGAAAAGAAAATGTACCACCGTTGTTAAACGAATGTCTTACGCCATCCCGCTAGAGATCATTTACCTGACCCCGCTGACCAACTGGAATCCTTACAACATCACCTACCACTACGGTAGTGAGGCGGCCATTGTTACAAGCGACGGGAGAAAAGGAGGCTTTAAACCAAACACAGCGTATAACGGAACCCACTATTCGCTGTATTACCGTACCCCAACCGAGTTCTTCACAGGGGCAGAGGTGGGGGTCAGTCCAGCAGACACGACAAAGGGATCAGTCGGGGTTCTTGATCAAGAAGGGGTCGTGAGGAAAGTATCAGCATCAGGGGTCAGGATATTTCTACCCAAAATTCAAGGGATTGGATCATTGAGGACGCGCTACCCCGTCGCCCCCGTTCACGGAGAAAGTAGTTCCGTGTGGAAAGAGTTGAACGCTCTGAAGAAAGTCGTCATGCAGATGTACACCAATGAGAAGTACCTCACGGAAAAATTGGCCAAACAACCGCTCTCAACCACAACGGCACCTTCCAAAAAACAACCATCTACTGATAAGGCTATGAACAAAATGATATCCCCACGGTCCCCTCAGGCTGTACCACACCTACGTCTTCTGACCAGCGTCGCGACCAGGGACCCCCCAGGGGAACATGTCCACACCATCGAGTTGACCGAAGATGACCAGCTCGCCTTATTCCGTGGTCAGATCCTGGATCTAACAACCAGCGAAGACAACTCCCACTCGCATCAGGTGCGGGTGAAATATTTCAACAACAGGTTTCACGTCCTTTCCTGTGATGGAAAGGGTTCCGTCCCCTGTTGGGATGGACACACGTCCTGTCTGACCACAGAACAAGAGGACGCCTGCCCACCTGAAGATTCGAACCTCGATTCCGTCAAAGACCAAATTTAAATCTAAAAATAGTTGTGTAACTCAAAAGTCTATGTTTTAACTTAAATTTCTTTTTTGAAAAATAATTTTAAATATGTTTATTACAAGAACTTGGAATTAAAAAAATCCCCGTCCAGTTTATACATTAATTGACTACACGGCAAGGTCCTAGAGAGGAGGTAGCTTTATGTAAGCATCACTAAAATATACTGCGATTGGTTCCTGAATGGTAGACACTCCTCACACTCCACATACAACTAGGTTTTCAGTGACTGCTTCTCGGCTAAGTTCAGACATCAGACTCAAAGCTTAAAATCTGTTTAACACGTCATTAATTTTATGTGTGTTGTTAGTCCAGAACATTCTAAGCCGATGGGCAAACAGCTGACCAGACCATCCATTAACCTCCCTCGGTCACAGAAACAGGTGAACTCTACTTCACCTGTTAAATGGACAGTCAAGTTCAACTGGTTATATTATCTGGCTACAATTATCCCCAGTAATTGAAAAAAATATTGAAATTATTGCAATCATGTTCATGTAATATCTTATTATAATTAGCAATATGTTTCCTATATTTTATTGACCCGGTGAAAATCAATGGTTAAAGCGTTTTTTAAAACATTTTCTGTACATATTTTTGTATATGTAAATATTTCAATCAGGCAAATATTAACCTACTTAGTAATTTATCAAATTTCTTCATATATCTATTCAATTAGTATTCTGTCAATTTAATGATATAACCTTTTAATTATTCTTTTCTACAATAAAAAGCATTAATATATATTTAATGAAAATACATCTTTTTCCATAAATTCTTTCAATATTTTGTGTTTTACAAGTCTTTAAAATACCATTCTATTCATTTATAAATCTATAATAAAAGCGGGCTGGTAATGTGTCAGTCCTTTCTTCCGTCATCGCTATGGGTTTTGGAACCATAAAAGTAAACACATCACATGTCGTGCTTTTTACTTGCATCGCAGTGTTTTATCATAAGAAAAAATGAAGGTTTGTTCATATATCGACTTAAATTTATTTTATAGTTGCTACAGTTTTTCTTTTGCGCATAACGTAAAGATAATATTAAATAAACGCAAATTTCTAAAATATATTAATTAAACGGATCAATGTCAAACATCATTATCGTTTTGATTCCTAGAAAAAATAGATACATTTTAATAATAGTAATTTCGAAACAATTAATTAATTAAACCATTTTGTAATTTTGCCAAGGGAGGTAATTTTTAAATAAATTCAACTCACGTTAGTTCAAAAATGTGAATGCAAAAATCTCCAAGAGGGAACTCTTGTTGGAATAATATAATTAGCAAAATATGAATGCAAATCTGCAGAGGACAATATTGTAAGAGTTTATTATTGTTGGAATATTATAATTAGCATGGATTGATAAAAGCCTATCTTTTATTTATTTTCTTCACTAAACATCCTGTTTACTAATTATAATTTGTAATCACTTATTCCGCACTGTTATAAACGCGTCATTACGTTCATTAGATGCGCAATGGTTTTAGTCATGAAACTCTATTTTAATTTTTAAAAATTTAAAGTACTGAAAAAATGCATGAATTGATAAGTGCAATATGGTAGGTAAAACACGGAAATTTTAAATACCGCCTTTTATTTATTTAATACACTGAACGTACTGTTTACTAATTATTAATCTAACTTTCCGTTTGCGGACAAGCTGGGGGTTTTATAGTCATTTACTAAATCTGGCGCGTCCGTTGCCGTTTGGACAAGTTGCGATTTGGCGCCCCGGGCTAAACTGTGAGCACTGTACGTTTATGTTTGCATTTAAGTAGTGTTTATGTTATGAGTGATGTGTATGTTCTTTCGTTTGTGTTTTTTGAGTATGTGTTTGCATTGTGTTGGTGTTTTCATTTGCGTTTTATTTGTGTTTGTTTTTTCTTTTGTGTTTGAGTGTTGCATTTGTGTTTTCATTTGTGTTTGCATTGTGTTTGTGTGTTTCTTTTGTGGTTGTGTTGTTGGTATATTTAAAAAAGATTTACCGTGGAGGAGCACCGGTATGCAGCTATTTTATGACGTTTCATTCGTGTCACTTCTCTACACAATGGGCCCACCTGAATGATGACGGTTCATAATTTAAAAAAGACAAGAACATAGAGCAAGTGGCGACAAAAAGGCCCCGATAAAACAGCCCCGTTATGAACTTAAAATGTACCCACGGTCCCTAAGCCTTCTCGCGTCTGATAGTCACTGTGTTGTAACAACCCACTCCTCTGATTCCGTATAGGCGTAACACATAGATAACTACTAAATTAAACATTAACATTTCAACGATACAAAAATGTTTCAATGAAGCCACGCCGACCAAGTGATACGGACTATAATTTATTTCTTTATTTTGTTGCGGAAGGAGTTATTATGTCTGGTGCCGTTTTAATGGAACATGGGACATTTTTTTCGGGAAACCTATTGCCGTTAGCCTAATTGACTAGAGCCCCTTTTATCAGGAGCCTATATGAAGGGGTTCATTTGTCTCCCCACCATTTTATTATAAAAAATACATCCTGCCTAATCCCAGTCTTTCCACCTTCAATAATCAAACAAATGATACAAATAAATCAGTGGCGTGGCGTGGTAATAACACAAACATAAGCACAAAAAAATGTGACTCATCAAAGTCTATTTTTCATTCGTATGCACTTGGGTTCAAGTATGTGTATATATGCATATAATAAAAAAATTGTAGACGTATATTCGCCTACCCGTCTTGGCTGGCAGAGGGGGGGGGGGAATCCACTCTTTTTTTGGACGATTTTAAATTTATACTGAGCTCAATCAGCATTGAGAATTTTAATCAATTTCTTTTACAATTTGTTAAAACAATTTTACAAAATGCAAACTAATGATTAAAATTCAGTTTTTAGCATTACTTTAAAACGCAAAAGTGTGACGTCACAGTATCCTAACCGCCCCCGTCACAAATTTAATGCCCCCCCCCCCCTTCATCCCCCGCTACGAGTCACCCACCCCATCATTGACACAGTGCCCAAGGTAGATCTGATTATCATATAATTCACAGGCATGGCATTCATCAGGGACTTTGTGTCTGTGGTGCCGCAATGTTATGCAAGATTTAAATATAGGTCATGGATAATCAAGAGGTAGCATAATGTAGGTCAGTTAGATATTAGTCAATCAGAACCAAAAGAACTGCAGTGGAACGTACTGTAGTGGAACGAACTGTAGTTGAACGAACTGACCAATCACGTGAGATATTCTGCTGACTACTGACGCGTCAACTAGGGAGATAGAGAGTGTTAGTGGTTGGTCATTGAAGCGTAGGGAAAAGTCAAGGGCTAGCCAACAGGGAGATAGGTATAGCAGAGTGAAACAGTCGTGGATAGAAAGGACTTATAGTTTTGGAAGAGATGATGTATTTTTGGGAGATAGCTGAGACAGTAAAGTTTGTAGTACAGTAGTATAGAGTAGGTTATTGATGGGTGTATATATAAATAAACTATTCTACATTTCGAATAGGACTTGTTTGATTTCTCACTTTGTGTCAGGCTACAGAAGGATCAATCCCCGAGCCAGAATGTATTAAATGTTCATTAAGAAACGAATGCATATTAACATAGCCTTCCAACACCACAGTGTCAAATGTTGCTGGTAGAGACATTCACAAGTTGTCAAAGGTTGTTGGCGAAGTTTTAAAATTTCAAGACATTTGGAGTCTTTAAACCAAACGCCTCAAAGGATTTTATCCTACCTAAGTCATTTGATAAAAAGATCCCCTCTCTAAATGAATGTGGAATGTTCGCTCCTGTTATCAGAAGAATATAAACTTGGAACAGATAAAAATACAAATGTGTTTATGTTTCTAAGTAGGTGGGGAAAAACAATCCACGCTAGATGCACTCAGTCAGACGCAGAGAAAATCATGCAGCATACTCTATGTTTTGCCTGACATAAATTTCGTCAGACAAAGAGAGAATCGTGTAGCACACTCTTTTTTTTTGTCTGACATCAATGTGTGACTGCAGCTAAATACAGTCGAGCCAATTAACGAGTAATTATTAAAATAATTACAAAATAACATGTGTCTGTTTATTCAGGAAATTAATTTATTTAGACAGCGTAATTAAACCAAGTTTGTTTTGATTAAAGTAATTAGAATACAAGATAGAGTAGGATGTGGTTAGAATACAGTTTAGAGTACACTACGGCTATGATGTTATAGTGGTGGCATATGAAACATAAAAGGTAGAGGGGGTCATTTGGAGAAGAGGGTATAACATAGATGAGAGGGTTGGACATGGTGAAATCTTGTGCATAGTGTATGTGGCGTCATATTTTTATGACGCAATAAACATTATAATTATTACTAATTGGCCTTAGACTGTGGTTCTTAATCTTTTTGAAGGTACCGAACCCCACCAGATTTATATTCGCATTCACTGAATTCTAATAGTTTAATCAGACAGGGCCCGAACGTGAATCACACATGTGTGTGTCTTGACCCTTGCCGTACCCCTGAGACTGACTCACCGCACCCCTGAGGTTTGATGGAACCCATATTAAGAACCACCGCGAGAGTCTAGTTTCTAGAAAGTGAGTAGAGTGGTTGGGGGGGGGGGGGTGAGGTTGCGGTGTTTATTAACATTCGAGTTGCGAGTAGCTGTTCTAAAAAAAGATAATGATCTGTGTATTCGCTAAATAGAATCAATATGATATACACGAATCCTCAGGCTTATAAAGATAAGAAATAAAATCAAACTTGTATAGTAAAAATAGATGTATCATGGTGGTGTGACTTGTTTAATTAAACTCTGCGTCTGATTAAAGTTATTGTTAATTGCAGTGTCACAACAATTAGAAATATTTCTTGTAAAAAGTCGTGTTCTGGAAAGTCAGAAGGGGGAGGGGATATTAAAGAGTTGATTTACTTTCAAATTGCTAGCAGTTGTTCTAAATAAACCTGAAGTAATCTCCTCTAAACTTTCTCGAATATTCTTATTTAACATTACGGGGTTGGTAACTCGGGATATAGACACTATTGTTAATCCATTTTTAATTACTTAAACTTTTAAAAATAGAATAGAATCTCGTAGATAAAAAGAATTGCGCACCAAATGAATCCCAAACAGGCGTAGTGAAGTGGGTCGGGGGGTACATATGTCCCCGGGCGCTCATTTAGCTGCTATTTTGAATTATAAATATTTAAAAATATATGGCGTGGGGAGGGTGGGGGCGCCGAATTGAAAGTTGTAGCCGGGCGCCCTGAGGGGTCGCTACGCCTCTGATGCCAAACAAAATGTGTATAATAGTGCGGAATATTATTAGTACTTCATAAATTCCCATGCATTTTTGAGAAATCGGAAATAGGGTAAATTACTACTTTCGGTAAACAGAAATTACTCAAAATTTGAATGACGGCAGAAAATAAGATATTTTACTTTCATGTGAAATTTCACTTATCTATCTCAAATAGTACTCAAGTCATAAGCTTTAAAAAAATGAAAGTAGATTAAGTTCCACTACCGGATATCGGAAATCAGTGAAAAGTTGGTACATATCTACAAATTTGAAATAATACTTATATACGAAATTTTATCAACCAAGCTGTAACGTTACCCAAGTTATCGTGTTTACAGACACACACACACATACGCACACAGACATATGAACAAGATTGCTAA